TCTCAACACGGGCGGGCACGGGGCGGCACTGGGGGGCTGGAGAATGATGACGTTTTGATTGGCAGGCGGGGCGGCGACAGCCGAGCCCACGGGCTGGGCCATCTGGATCACCTGCATGGCTGGATTCAACGGGAGAAGGCTGCCTGCAAGCTGGGCGAGAACCTGCGTCTTTGCGACTAGCGGCTGCATAGGTAAGGCTGGGCAGGAAGGCAAAGTGACCACGATCTGCTCAGGCGTCTGCTCGTCCACAGGCGGAGGATTGCTCAAAGTAGCGCTGGTGGCCGAGCACCTGTTAGGAACGCAAGCTGTCGCGCCGGCGGCATGAACTGGCTCGTTTGACAAGCCCGCCATCACGCTGGATGGAGCGTGGTTTAGAGGCTGGACGGTATTCCCCGCGAGTTGCAAAGTAGTCCATGTCGTCTGGGTGTTCCCCGCCGAGGTGATGCGTGACAGGCTACCGATGTTTTTGGAGCCCGGAGTGCCGATGGCTGAAGAGCTGGGGAACGGCCACTTTTCTAAAGTGGTGGCAGGCAAAGGGTTGAGTTCGGTGACGGCCCTTGCCGCTTCCGCGGCAGACGTTGCAGGCACTCCACTGCCACTTCTCCCATGTGGACTTCTGCAGACGCTTCCTGGTGGAAAGCCATCAACAACGGACAATCTGGTGGAGGGAATACAGGTGGGATCGGGTACGGAAGCACCACAGCTTTCCTGGGACATACTCCTTGAATCCTCTTCAGAGGTCACCACTGCTAGTTCAGTATTTGGTACGTCCGTATCAGCCCGGGAGGAAAGGCTGATGTTGGGCCCACCGGTTTCCTTGAGTAACCTGGAACTCTCTTGTCCATTTTTAGGTTTGGTGGCGGCAACCTCCCCTTGCAGTGAGTTCTGCAGTTCAGGGGGCATCTTTGCTGGTTCTGACGCATTCTGGGAGCTAGCCGCACTGGTGGCCATAAGCACACGCTGCTCATTCTCAGAGGTAGAGGGCTCGAGAATTTTCTTGGCTAGATTTGGTAGACCTGGCGTCAATGGTGGAACTGACGTCTCAACCCCTGACTTGATTTCTGTGGAGTAGATACCAGAAAGGGTGACAGGAGTGACAAGATTGCAAGTTCTCTGGACAGGGACAACATTAGCCGTTTGCTTTGGTAAGTTATGACTGATGTTAAAGGTTATTCCTTGGACTGATGTCCCCTGGTTATTTCCACCCAGTTGACTCCCATTGGAATAGACAATGATGTTCTTCTGCACCTGGTCGCCGGGGATAACCACCGAGACTTTCGCATTGCTGAGGTTTCCTTTCTTTTTTTGCACCTGATCACTGGGGATCACAACGGAAACTTTTGCATTTTTGAGATTCCCTTTCCAGTGGATGGTGGGGTCGTCGTAAAGGCAAATGTCATTGGCTTTCAACAATGCGATGTAGCGCGCATTTTCTTTCTGAATGTCGTCCAGTTGGACCCG